GGGGTTGGTACGGTCCACTTTGGAAAAAACATCTAAATTTTAGATGAAGACACATATGTTATAAAGATCATCACAGGGTCTGGCACAGAGTTAAAGATAAACTAAATTAGCGGCCAATGCAGGATCCACAAGTGATGTTGGTAGGCTGGGCTGAAAGCTACCAGGATAAAAATTGAGCTGAGGGTAAAAAAAAAAAGTCCTAACCCAATTGTGAACAACTTTGTGATTTAATAGTGACTATTAAAAATTTTTAAGTAAAATTCATAGAATATAGCTTGTCAGAAGCCTCAATTCTTAACTTGGGATTTTAGAGCTCAGTAATTAAAGAATTGCATGTGGAGTCAAAACAACTCTAGATGGGATCAGAAAGAGAGCTCAGAGGGTGGAATGCCCTGGGTTTGATCCCCAGCACTGCACAGCCCTCAGGGAAATGCTGGGTGTAGCCCTGGTGCCTGCTGTGTGCTGCCAAGGTGGACCTCATGGTTTGATCCTTATTTGACCCCTGGCATGGCAGGGTCCAAGCAATGAAGTTACCACACCTCACAGGGTCTGAGTGTCACTGGGAATGTCCCTGAGCAACACTGAGACCCACTTGGGAGCCCACCCTCAAAACAAAGTCCACCAATAAGCATAAAACCACAACAAAACCCACTGATAGCAATGGCTGGAGAGATAGTGCTTGTACTTGCTTATATAGTGTTTGCCTTGCATATGGCTGACCTGGTTCCATCCTTGGCACCATATACAGTCACCTAAGCCCACCAGCAGTGATCCCTGGGCACAGAACCAGGATTAAGCCCTGAGCACAGTTGGGTTTGGCCCTCCGAAACAAACAAACAAACAACCCAAACCCACTGACAGTCACAAACGTCTTTCTTTGTGCCCGGCATTTAAACAAACAATTTACTTAAAATAAATAAATAAAGGGCTGAGCCTAGTGGTACTCAGGGACCATCCAGGTTATGGGGATCATACTAGGGACGTACTCTACCATGCAAGTCACATTTCCAGCACCTACACTTCTCATTCTCATGCTAACCAACAAGCCCTATCCTACACGGAGGACTACCATTTCACTGAGGCTTTGCATAACAAGTGACTTGGACCAGGGTTACAGAGCTGCTACATGAAAAAAAAAAAGATTTAAGCTCAGCTCTGACTCCAGAGCTGGTGCAATCCCCACTCTCCCATGTTGGCTGCTGTGTCTCATGGTGATGACATGACATCATGGAAAAAAATTTTATCCAGAAGGATAATGAAACCGGGAAGAAACATGGTTAATGAGTTCTCCAAATGAAAACCCTGGAGTCCTTTGGAGAGATGACTATTTAGCCTTTGTCTAAGAGTGTTGGTGAAGAACAAGGAATATCAAGACAACCCAGCGGGGAGGTAGACTCCGTCCAGCATAGGTCGCCTAGCTCCCGTGAGAGCCAGGCATACTGGCCGAGGCTTGCATGTGACGAGGAGGAGGGTGAGTCAGCAAGCATCAACTCTCCCGTGATTCTCAACACCACTGTCAGGACACTGAATATATGACACAAAAGTTTTGACCTCTGCTTATAGTCAGAGCAGATCCACCTTCCTGATTATATAATATGCGGTTTCTTTATTATTATTATTATAACCTAAGGAAAATAATCAACCATCTGTATTTTAAAATATTTAAGTGACGTTAAATAATGGTGGTTATTAAATAATGGCGGGCTAGAGCGATAGCACAGCAGTAGGGCGTTTGCCTTGCAAGCAGCCAACATGTCCGACCCGAGTTCGATTCCTCCGCCCCTCTCGGAGAGCCCGGCAAGCTACCGAGAGTATCTCGCCCGCACGGCAGAGCCTGGCAAGCTCCCCGTGACCATATTCGATATGCCAGACACAGTAACAACAAAGTCTCCAATGGAGACGTTACTGGGCCTGCTCGAGCAAATCGATGATCAACGGGAGGGCCTTTTAAAAAAAAATAATGGTGGTGAGCCTCAACCAAAGAAAAGGCAGAATATTCACATCATTCATACTTTTGTACTTATTTTCTGCCATTCAAGTTGGGAGGCAGAATAACATGAACTGGCCCAAAGATGCATACAGCTTGAAGCGCAAACTGCCTAACTTCAGAATGACCTTGTCGGCATTGAAGAAAATTTTATTGGAACATTTGTTAAGATGGTTGATTTCTTTTTTTTTTAACTTTATTTATTTATTTTTGCTTTTTGGGCCACACCCGGTGATGCTCAGGGATTACTCCTGGCTCTATACTCAGGAATTATCCCTGGTGGTGCTCAGGGGACCATATGGGATGCTGGGAATCGAACCCGGGTCGGCTGTGTGCAGGGCAAAACGCCCTACCCACGGTGCTATTGCTCCAGCTCCGCGATGGTTGATTTCTTAATACCACATCTTACGTCCACTCAATTTTAAATAACCCCCTGAAGATTCAGAAAGGTTTCAAAATATGAAATTTTCAGGGGCTGGAGGAGTGATAATATAGTGGGTAAGGTGCTGCCATGCATGCAACCAAACCTGGTTTGATCCACAGCACCACATATGGTTTGCTGAGTATCACTAGGGGTGACCCCTGAACAATGAGCCCGGGGGTGGTCTCGGGCACTACAGGGAGTGGCCCTTCCACACACACACACACACACACACACACACACACACACACACACACACACTCCATGCCCCCAACCCTCCCACCAGCCAAACAAAACTTAAGATTTTCAGAAGCAGGCAGAATTCTTTATCTCGCATTGGAAAGATTTGCTGGCAGCAAATAGACACTTATAGGAAGTTGCCTAAAATAATTACAGGATAACTATTAAGGCACCGCAAAATTTCTCAGGGAAAGAAAATAATTTTTATCAAAACTTCTCATTTAATTTCTAAAATTATGGGTTGTCCCCTCCCCCGCCTACTCCCAGAAAATATGCATGCATGCTACAACCCATAAATAGGAAATAATAAAATAATGAAGTAATGTTGTCCGCTACTACATTCCAGGTGGCTGGGGACCAAAGGGTGACCGAAGAGGACAGGATTTAAAGGCTCGACAGGTGGGGGTATGGTGCCGCCAGCAGGTTAATCTGTACCTGTGAGGTGACTGCAACAGCAGATGATGCAGATACCCCAGAATTGCTGCTGTGCCTTTGGCTTGACCCCAAACACTTGGGGCAACGTTTACCAAGAAAGTAAACGGCCAAACGTTAGGTATGTGGGAGACACACCCACAAGCCACCTCTGGCTCAGCTATACAATTGGAGACATGGCCTCTCTGGTTCCTGATTGAACTGCTTAACGGCCATGATCCCAGAGACTCAGAAACAAATCTCAAAACCCAACGGCTTTTGGCAGAACTGTGACCAGTCCCTGCAGTAGGTTACCGGCGCCAGGCCACCCCAGGTGGGAACAGGTTTCATGCTTGGCCTGTTCCCCTTGGCGGCTCAGTAGCCGTCATCTCCAGAGGCCACTGGACAGTCTGGTTTGGGCCCACAGTGACTGAGACACATGGGGCCTCATGGGATGGGTGGAGCCGGCCCTTTTCATCCCATCCCAATGAGACCACGAGTCGTCACCCACAAACAGCCTCTCTGGCTCCTGATCAAGCTTCTTAATGGCCATAATCACACAGACTCAGAAACAAATCTCAAAACCCAGCGGTTTTTGACAGAAATGTGTCCGGACCCCACAGTAGGTTACTGTCGCCAGGCCACCCCAGGGGGGAAAGGGTGTTGTTCCTCCGCCTGCTCCCTCTAGGTGGCTCAGTGGTCTTCATCCTCCAGAGGCCATTGGGCAGTCAGGTTTGGGCCCTCAGTGACGAGACATGCGGGGCCTCACGGGATGGGGGTGGAGCCGGCCCTTTCCTCCCCGTCCCAATGAGACCCTGAGTTGCCGCCCATGAACGGCCTTTCTGGCTCCTGATCAAGCTGCTTAACGGCCATGATCCCAGAAACTCAGGAACAAATCTGGGAACCCAGCAGGTTTTGGCAGAAATCCCTCCAGATTTGTTAAAATTTCGGAATTCCAAAATCGTGTGGCCAGTACTGCAGCCATGAGACACCATACGATATTCATAACCAGCAATAGAAAAACAAATTGTCTAGTGCTGCTTTTTCAGCAGATCTGAGTGTTGGGATAAAATCCCAAATAATAATGGTATCAAAATATTGAATGTAATCAAAGTAGAGAGAGAGTAATGTGGAAATCATCTGCCCCACAGGTAGGGGGAAGGGCTGGAATGGGGGTATATTAGGGTTTTTGGTGGTGGAGAATGGGCACTGGTGAAGGTACAGGTGTTTTATTGTATGACCAAGACTTAAACCCGAAAGCTTTGTAACTGCTCTCACAGTAATTCAAGAAATAAAATTATAAAAAATGAAAAAAAATACTGTGGTGACAGTTATAAAATGTCGAGTATTTTGGGATTTGAAAATGTACTATTTGGGTAAATTAAAGCTACTGTTTTACCTACTTAAAAAAATAAAAAAAAATAAAGGCTTGACAGGATCCTTATGACAAAGGGCAATTTGCAGTTGACGATCCAACTGCCACTCAGTCCAGTTTCTTGGCCAGGACTCCGGACTCTGGAAGTCTTGGCCCTGGCGCTCTCTTCTTGCACTTTAGGGATGTCTTCAAATTTCACAGCTCTGATCTTTGTGAATGTACTTCCATGCACACACTCCCCTTTTAAATTTTTTAATGCCACAAGAAGAGTGTGTTTTTTGTTTCTTACTTCTATCAGTAAGCAGTTACAACTGCCAAGGAGTTCATCAATTCTTGATTGAGGATTAGAGAAGGCAAGCGGCCAGAGAGATTTCCTTTAGAAGGCAGTTAGGCCCAATTTAAGTTTTGTGAGCACCTCTGCTTTCCCTCCTAATGGGGAGGGCAATAAGCATTTGCTATTCAAGCCTGAACGCACATGCAATTTTCCTGAAGTACCCCATATGGAAACCATAGGGCAGAAATGATTCACAATGAAACGTGGAAGACAGATTAAAAACTATACTCACTTAGGAGGAACCCGTGAAACTGTGTTCGCACTGGTGACTGGGACTACTTGAAGAATGTGTTCAAGGGCCGTTAATCCACCAGCAACTTGAAATGCAATTTGATCTGCCACATTCTAGACAGAAATACAAACAGAAATTAGCCCAATTTCCCAGGAACAAAATTACAGCCAAACGAAATATTTAGTTAGAGTGTGAGGCATTCTGCTGGTTCAATTATTTTATAAATATTTATTGAATGCGGACTCAGAGCTGGCGGTGCTAAGGCCAAGTGGTGAGCAGAGAAGACATGGCTGATGTTCACTGTGGAGCTTAAAACTTACCAGATGAGACCGACACTAATCAAATGACTATAAATAGAAGAGGACTTTTATTTCCATAAGTACCTCCGAAGGAAATGGAAAGGGTTCTGAGACCAATGGGGGAACCAACTACTTCTCTGGAAAGTTGAAATGTTCAGGCAGGCAAAGGCAATGAAAGGGGACAAGGGAATCCAAGCAGAAGGAAAAGTCATTCCATGCATGTTTTTTTTTAAACACAAAACCAAACAAAAAAGTCTTCATTTTGGAATGTCAATCACTTAACAAAGACAAACCAAAGTTTGTCCTGCACAAAGCTTTCTCTCACAGAACTTGTTCTCTTCCGTTGTATGTTAACCTAATAGTCCACTATTCCTCTGGATCTTTCTTCAACCTCTTTAGCTATTTCAGGGAGAATATTAAAGAGGCCATTTAGAATTCAGCAACTATGATCATTCCTACATAATTTCCTAATAATGTGGGGGTGGAACGATAGTACAGTGGGTAGGGCATTATACACGGCTGATCCCTGGAATCCCATTAGGTCCCCTGAGAGAAGCAATGCCAGGAGTGATTCCTGAGTGCAGAGCTAGGTGTAACCCTTGAATATCACTGGGGGCGTGGTCCAAAAAACTAAGTAAATAATAATACACCATTTCGGTGGGACAGAACCTCTCTCACAAAAGGTTCTTAGCATCCCTCTGGGATGGGGACGAGGAATTTTCTGGAAGCACATTTGTGTGAAGTGCACATAGAAAACTGGCATCAAATAAGTAAAAACCGGGAGTCTGACCTATTCTACAGTCTGAGCTCACTTGCACACTGAAGGCGCAACACGTAGCACCTCGGAATGTAACTGTGTGAGAAGCAGGTAAGTCTCAGTGATGGCGCTGCCATTTTCTGTACAGACTTATTTCTATGTATGTTCACACACACACAGAAATTGTTGCTCACATCTACTCCTGTGAAATAGTTTTCCTTAAATACTACCAGAATATAAATTGTCACCTTACTCTTCTTCTCTTGGGAATAAAAATCAGAACCCTGCACAGCATCTTTGATGCTATTCTACAACCTGTGCTGGGGACGACTTAAGTTGTTTCATGCCAATAAGATCTCTACTTAAAGAAAAAAAAAGCAGGTAAGTGAAACTGAGGCTGTTAAGGTGGAGACCAGATTGGACATGACTCTGTCCTCATGAGAATCCTCGCCAGTGTGGTGTGCCTGTGCAAAGGGCAAGCTGGTGGCAGGCACAGCGACAAGGGGGTCCTCTATGAACCAAGGAGAGAAGTTTCCAGAAAAACCAAAACTGCTAACACACGGCCCCCTGAAGTCCAGCCTCCAGAACTGTGACAGCGTAAATGTCTGCAAGGAAGTCACCAAGCTGTGATTCCCACGCAATACTCAGCCATGACCCCCTCTCGTTGTCTCTAATATCACACCATTGGTTATCCATTCCTGAACTTTCTTAGAAATACCATGCTGTCTTTTACAGTGGGGGTTGGGGACGGGGAGGTACAAGGAGAGAGATGAATTGCAGGCAGGTTCTGTTGTGCACATCTGCCTGATTCTTCTGCTGTTCCAAACATCGTGTACTGCCACCTTGATGTGGACTATTAATCACTGGTCCTGGTAGAGATTTGCAGGGGGAGCATTCAATTACTCAAACTTTGAGCACAATAAAATATAGTGAGAGTATAAAATGAGTCCATCGTGTTTCTAGACAAGAACACACACTTCTAAGAATAAAAATTAGTCATCTAGAGCTGAGAAGATAACTCAGAAGGCGGAAGCTCATGCCTGCATGCATGATGTCCTGACTTTTAGCCTCACCACTGCATACCCCCTGTCGCAGCCTGCCACCCCCAGGACCTCTAGGTGTAGCCCCAGTGACCCATGAGCACTTTCAGGAGTGACTCTGAAGACCTAAGCAGTGTGACATCATGGATCCAGGATCACTGGCAGTGGCCCCCAGGACCCCAAGTGCCACTGGGGGGAGACCCCTGAAGTAAGAATTAATTTTGTCATTAATGAGGAATGTTTCTTTGGGCAAAAAACAATAATCAGTAAAATTTTTAAAAAAGCTCATGTGCTTAGTAATTTATACCATAGTATGTGTCATTCTTTTTCCCTGTTACTGTCACTGTCCTCCCATTGTTCATTGATTTGCTCGAGCGGGCCCAGTAACACTGTGAGACTTGTTACTGTGTTTGGCATATCAGATAGGTCATGGGTAGCTTGCCAGGCTTTGCTGTGCTATGCCAGAATATTATATTAACATAATTAGAATGCAATAATCATCTTATCATTTTTATGTTAGCATCTCACACACCCAACAGAAACTACATCCACCCTAATTGTGTGATGGAAAAGGCCTGGAGAATTAAATACTTCCTGAATCAACCCCAAAGCAAAAACAATTAACCCTTATATAATACGCTGTAATAACCCCAAAGTTAAGGCTATCCTGACATTGAAAACTGTGGGTTCTTTTTGTCTTTTCAGTAGAGCCATGCTTTAGGTATTCTCTAGTATGTAGGTTTTCTTAATTCCTCCCCTAAATTTATCCGTATCACTGCTGCTTATAGCAGTATTTTACTCAGTTTCCTTGCTATACTATATTCCTTTGTGATTCTGCACCTCAACTTGTTTGAATGTTTCATTGCCAAGTATCATCTGGGTCATTTTCAAATGATACTTGGATATTACTGTGGAGACTCCAGCTAACACCATTTTACACATGTTGGATGTGTATCTGGGCATATGGATATGCTCTTGTGTTCGCTACGTTCTTCAGTGCAGAACTGCTGGTTCACAGTGGGGAGCTGGTAGCTTCCATTTTATCAGCTAAGGCCAAATAGCTTCCCGTGGTATTCAGAAAAAGTACACGCTTTGCCACGGTGAAAATCTCAATTATTCAACACTCACACCTAAACTTGGGTTTTCAGCTTTCTTTTACACGTTGGTCATTCTAAAGATGTGTGGTGGCATCTTATTTATTTTACCTCACGCATTTATTATGTTTGCCTTTTCCTAATAATCAATAGAGAGTGGACCATCTTATACTTATTGAATCTTTTAGTTATTTTCGGGAGGTTTTTGGCCCTTACCCAGCAGTACTCAGGGATCAATCCTGGCAGTGCTCAGGGGACCACATACAGTGCCAGGTATGGAATTGGCATTGGCTGCATGCAAGGCAAGCGTTTTAGCCCTGTAATGTCTCTCCAGCCCCTATTGGCTATGTTCAAAAATTACAAGTCTGCTTCACTCTTAGGTGAGCAGCTCACACGTTGAGTCCTATTCAACTTGATTTGACAAGTGCTTGTCAAGACCCTACTGATACCCTCACCCTAAAAATTCCCTTCACGCTCTTTTCAGTTAATCCCTCCTCCCCGAAGCCATCACTAGTTTGTTCACTGCACCAGGTTAGTCTTATCTATTGTAGAATTTTCATATAAGTGAGATCATGGAGTCCACACGGCTGTTTTCTGGATTTCATTTGTTAGTGATTTGTTCTTCCACCAGTAGTTTTGTGAGAGCAGGGAAGCTGCTACAGCTGAGGGTAGAAAGGCGGAGGGGTTCTGGGTCAAAATAAAAATGAAAGTACAGAGGAAATGTTTAGTGCTATTCAAAATGGAGTACATTAAAATAAATAAAAAATGTTGAAATGGCTGGAAAAATTTACAGCAATGAAGAGGCCAAGGAACCAGCTTTCAGTGAACTCAGCTCCAAGTTTTGCTTCTTCCTTTTCTGTTACAGCTCCCAACTCTTGCCTTTATTCCACAGCTATTCCTTCCTTTCCAGTCCCAGCTCCTGCCTCTTCCATGAGGTGCTATCGTAACCTCCAAGTATTTCTAGAGCCAGGCATAACTGCAAACCGGTCCAGTCTCTAGAGCGGTGCTTCCCTAATTGTCTAAGATAGTCAGGTTTTTGTCCTCATTTTAAAAAAGGTTTTTGGGGGCTGGCACGATAGTGCAGCCAGGAAGGCATTTGCCTTGCATGCAGACGACCCGGGTTCGAACCCTGGCATCTCACATGGTCCCCGAGCACTGCCAGGAGTAGTTCCTGAGAGTGAAGCCGGGAGTAATCCCTGAGCATCGCTGGGTGTGACCCAAAAAGCCAAATAGTTTTCCATGATGAAAACTATGAAATAAATAAAATAAATAAATAAAAAGGTTTAAAAATAAAAATAAAGGTTTTCGTTCCATTGTAAATTAGTCTTTTTTCAAAAATAATACAAATAAAATGCTAAATAAATGTGGGGGAGGGATACAGATATAGAAACCCGCATTTAAAAAATGTTATATGCAAATATCATAAAATTACTGTCAATTTGCTCACACTTGCTCCTGAGTTGTGTATTAATCTCACATGTTCTAGTGACAGTGAGGCAGCCTGGGCTTCCAGCTTGAGCAATGCTGCTCTGGGTACCAGTCTGTGCCCTGTGGATGGTATTTTTAATAGTATATATGATCATGTCACTATTCGAGAGTTGGGGCTGGGGAGAGAGGGCAGTGGGTAAGTGGCTTTCCTAGTATTTGGTCAACCCTGGTTCCATCGCAGGCACCCCCATCCGGTCTCCTGAGCATTTTCAGGAGTGATCCCTGAACACAGAGACAGAAATAGCCCTTGAGCACATCGGGGTATGGTCCCCAAACCCAAAATCAAGCTAACAGAAAAACCAACCAAAAACGTGGATATCTTCTTCTTTGTCCACAGGATAAAGCCCATCTTCCTTGATACGATTCTTCAGAATCTGCTCCCTCTCCTAAGAGCTGCCGCCACGCCCTGCTCTGACCTTTTCTTACCCCACCTGC